CCTTTCAGGATGAAGTTGTTCTGTCTGTCAGTCTTGCAAAAGCAGCTAGAATCCCCGTGTTTGACGGTGTGTGTTGGATTTAGCGGTTTTGTGCAGATGGGCGGAGCCTCCAGAGAAGCCCGGACCTTGTTTCGACTTTCATTTTGACAGATTTCATGGGCTCATGTTCAAGGTCGAAAAACCCTTCGAAAACCTCCCCAGTACGCAGGTTTTGATGCTGCAGCTGATCAGCAAGCTGGAAACAGAAACAACGTGCGTTGGCATCTGTGCCAGTCCGGACCAGAGTATGAGAATCGGAAACCCTACAAACAAGACCTGCATTGAAGACTGCCCGAATCTTGCGTCATGATGGAACCAAACCGTCAAAACTGTCAGGACACGGTGCGTGCGACGTCTGTTCAGAATTTTGATTTCGATATGGAACACATTGGGTCAAAGGTCAATGCAATATGTCTTTCTGTGTCTGGCCAGCCAGCATCCCGCTTCTATCGATTGAAAACGGTTTTTGTGAGATACAAGCTTGGCAAAACCGTTCTGAGGCACCTTAAGTGTTGGTTTGGCACTTCTGATTACAGGTGTGATGGATTGTTGATGTGTTTAGATTGTTGGCACAGTGAGTGAACAAGCTGGTCTGGTCGTTCCAAGGTAGTTCGTTCCATTTTGAGCAACACTTTCTGGCCAAGGTTTTGTGCTGTTGCTGCAAGCAGCGAGCTGGAACCACCCTGCTTTTTCCTTGCAGTTGAACAAGTATGACCGATGCCACATTCAGTTGTCTGGCACTTTTCCGTCCACGGCAAGAGCGAGCGCGGCGGTGCCCGCCTTCTAAAACGCAGGCCCGAAAATTGGACGTTTTTGAGCCTGTAGCCATGCAATCATTCCGAACCTCCAACTTTGGTGCAAGTTTTGGCAAGGCGCCTGCGGGAGGAGCCTGAGAACAGTCGGCGGTGGCGCGTGTGCTCTGACAAAGGTGTACTCTGGTAGAAGACGAAGAAACAATTGTTGCAGAGCTGTTGCTGGGTCAGGTGAGACGTGCTGGCGAATGCTTGTAACTAGGACTTCCTCGGGCCAAATTCACAAATGTGAAATTGTGACAATGTCAGAAGCAGTCCCAACAATCTTCCGCGTCCAGGTTTGTGGGTCCAAAAGGAAAAAAAGTAACAGCTTCAATGCAGCCAAAGTGTTCTACTTTTGTTTTTGACAACTATAATTGCCACGCTAAATTCGGTGCCCGAAAGCAATTTCTGTTTTTCGCGTTTGTCTTAGGAGCAGCTTGCCAATTTCGAAAGACTGAGATGTCGGCTTGGGGTTGAAAGCTTAAAAAAGGTTGCCGCAACAAGAGGCCTCCACAGTGCTGGAATATCTTGTCCAGACGTTGGAACCTGAAGGAAGCAGAAGCACGTCGGAAGTGGGTCAACGAAGGTTTTGAGAGATGATTATTTTCTGAACGCATACTGAATCTGGTCAAGCTGGAACGGGCAAGATGATTCATTTGGCTTTGAAGTTTCGAGGTTGTTGGGTTTTGCCATTTTTGGAATCCGAGTTTGTCTTGTTGCGGTCACTGCCTCGTGCATTTTCCGCGTTCAAGCATGTAAAAGATGCGGAAGCAATACAGTCCCTTCACGCAGAGTTTTGGTCGGATTTTGGTTGTTACCAGAAGCTATGGCGACGGTTTCGCTCTCTTGGGGCATAGTTACGAACTTTGACTGAAATCAGTACAACATTCGACGGTCGTTTTCAAAGTTCCAGCACAAATACCAGGCATTTCAAAGCGTCAGATTCCATGGGAGTGTCAAAACAAATCGAATCAATATGCACAAAGCATGCCATAAACCATACCAGCACGCAAAACGAACGAAAGCTTGGCAGTCTTTTCGATAATGTACAAGTTGCCCGACAGTTTGGCGTCTGCTTGGAACGGAGTAGTCTTGCAGCTTGAATGTACGCATTTCGCCATGTTAGCGTTTCAAACCTTCGAAGACTGTTGTCTCGACCCTCGGGAAACTCCGCTTTTGGTGGCAGTCTACGGCCAGCAGGAACGTGAAGTTCAACGCGTTGTCGTGAGTTTCCAGCTGGAGTCGTCGTTCTTGCAAGAGTGAAAGGAAGCGCACGAATGTCATTTGATGCTCGGTTTTTGGTTCGCAGCACTGCCTTCCTTTGCTCGGTCATGGCCGAACAGTTTTGCCAAAAGCGCCGCAAGACTTGAAGTTTTATGGGTAGAAGTGCCCAGCCATTCCTGGTACAACATGTACAAAGATCGCATCTCACTGCTGGCATGCGGTTTTTGCGGAGCAGAGCACCATGTGCTTTGAAGCACGCGGTAAATTCCGAGCTTGACTGAGGTTTAAACATGCGGCTTTTGTCGCGATTATCCTTGGCATCTGGGCGCTTCTTAATGTGCGCAAGTATTCTTCTATTTGGCAGTCAGGGGCATGTACCAATTGGGATGTCCGAGACGTCCCTATGTTGGTTGGGATTGCAGATTCCATCGGGCGGTTGTCGCGAAGCCTTCTTCCTCGGGTAAAATGTAGCAGTGCAGAATATTCATGTGCATTGGACGCACACATGGTGGTGATAGCCGACAGACATGGAAACATTGCGTAATTGCTGCGGAGAGACGGAAGCAAGTCAGAGTTTTACGCCCATGGCTTCAGGTCCTAATCGGGGCCAAAGGGGTGTTGGCTGCGTGCACTGCTGGAGAATGTCCAGATGCTGTACGAGATGCGAAGGACATGGGATAGACTTCGCGGCATCTTGCAAACACTCAAGAGACATCATTCTCATTGCCACCTGTATGACGATCCCAGATGAATTCTTTCTGACTTTCTGACCAACAACAATTTGGCCGTCACCAAAAACCAGAGGCGAGAGAGAGAGAAGAGAGAGCGAGCCACAGATAGAGCGAAACGGACGGACAGACAGACGGACAGACGCACGAGGACGTATGGATGAGATGATCCTGTCTGATCGTGTGCTTGGATCACTTACTGACCCAGTGATACCTGGTGCCTGCAGGGATATCAGACATAGCGTTGACCGGAGGGTGATGCGCACTTGTGTATACGTTCAAGAACTTGTACAATCCTTCAACGTGCTCACTGTCTGGCAGAACAGCAAGCAATTGAGAAACTCGGAAAGAGAAGACGGTAACATCGAAGCAGAGCGCTTGTCAAGAGCAATGCGCACCAGGTCTGACAGGGTTCCTGCAGGTCTACGATACCTGACTAGTGATGATTGTGATCGTCGCATTAGTCACATGAGATGCCTTGACTCGCGGTCTGTGTCTGTGTCGGATTCGCAGAGCTTCGCAGAGCTTCGCAGAGCTTCGCAGAGCTTCGCAGAGCTTCGCAGAGCTTCAGGATGCAGAACCGAGCTTGCTTCAGCTCCATCATCAAGGTAAGTCTTGGATCCTCGGACCCGGACTTTCTCTTGGGTTCCCAACGGCTGTCTTCTGGGTTGCTTTTTGTTTTTCAAGTTTGGAATCTGTGACTCTGTACCTTATGCCGCAGGCCAACCTCATTCTCCTAGCTCTACTACCCTCCCAGGTGCACCGCGAACGGACAGGATCCGTGGGCAAGTGGCCAGCGAGTGCTTTGGATCTTGATTAAGGGTCTATTGGTCGGTTGCTTCCATGGTTTTTCTCCGCAGTAGTTGTTGTCTATGCTTCGTATTTGCACCTAACTTGCCTTACCACTGTACGTGGTGATCCAAGCTTTTCCCTTGATTGTTCTTCTTCGATCATCAACCCCCGCCCTCACGTGGCAAGGCGGCTTTGAGAGCCTTTGATTGACTGGCTGAGTTACTGTAGGTGGACTGCTGCGCGGGCTTGGACATGTGTTTCGGAGAGCACCAGAACGGATGGAGCTACCGCTGCGAGTCCTCATGCTTCTTGGCAGAGGGAGTGGTGGGAGTTTGGAAAAGGAAAGGCCTTGCATGCAACTGTCCGCATGTCGCAATGCATCCCGAGCAGTGCGCTTGCCCGTCTCCGATCAGGTAGCGTGGGCAGCACTCCTTGCACGCCGAATGGCCACGATCCTTTCCAGACCTCCAGCCTAGTGCAGTGCCCGCACGGAGAGTGTCTCCAAAGAGCTCTGAAGACTTCATGCTAAGTGTGCTCCCGGTGACTTCCACGTGTTCGTTCTGAAAGCATCTATGCAAATGGGTTCCGGGTAGGCATTGTATCGAGGGCTGTGGCTTCTGTTTGGTGCTTGGAAGCGTGCGTGGAATGTAAACCGAAATGCATATATGCAGACAACAACTAGAAGAAAGGTAAAGAAGTTGACAGGCAAGACGAATAAGAAGACTCGGCTACACAGGCGGCACAGATCAATAAACACACGCATTCAACATGGCAATAGTTCAGCAGAGCGAATGAACACCAGCATACGGCTAAATACAGTGATACAGTCACGAAGCACAAACGTGTACGCAAGTATCATGGAGTTGCGCATACTTTTTTATAAACATACAAAACGCCTCGCTCCTGCAGGGGCTTCTTGATTCCGTTTGCAGGGTGCTGCGTGTGCTGTATCGGGACTGCAGGGTTCAAAGATGGGGCCTTGAGGCCGTCCTGGGCTTTGGTCTAGGCGCCCCCCCCCCCCCCCCCC